CCCCATCTCCACATCTACCAGTGTGGCAACCCAGGGTTCAGACAGAAACCGATCAGCAATGAGCGAGTGTGAGGTGACCCTGCTGTGAGCCTGAGGGGCTGCTGCTCAGTCAGGTCACAGGCCCAGGGCTTAGTTCTCTCAGCGGTGAGGAGTAACACCTCAGGAGCAGTACCTAGGCAGTGTCCAGAGCAAGGTAGCAGGTAACAGGACGGGTTACGAGGGCATGGAGGCTGTGACTGACAAGCTACTGTTCACTTGGTCTCTAGCTCTCCTGATCGATCCCAGGTTCAAATAAGCATGTGTGGCCCCAGGTCCCTGTTAACTCCCCTTGTGAGCATGGGTCTCTGAGTGGCTCAGGGGTCAGGGAAGCTGATTGCCTGGAAGGATGCCCCAGGCCTCAGCCAGACCTGCCTCTCCTGAGTCACCTCCTGCCGGCCTGCCACTCATCCCTGTGTGGCCGCTCCTAGGGGTGGGGTGGGCATTGGGACCTTAGGCCAAAGGAGCCCCTTATGGTGGGATAACAAGCTACTACTGAGTCATTCCAGAATAAAATAAGAGCAGGTGGACAAAAGACAAGTCAGGTATGGATTTCTCAGATGTCCTGATGACCACATGAAACCCAGGCAGTCAGAGCGTTCTGCCTATGACACGCTAGTTAGTACCCAGCCAGCCTCGTCCTCGTTTGTAAAGAGACAGACAAATCAGAGTGTGTGGTGTGGACCTATATTCCTGTCTACTCATGAGGTTGAGGCAAGAGGACTTTCTAGGCTTCAGGGACTTAGACCCTATCTTGAAATAAAAAGAATGCTTAGGATATAGCTCATGGTAGAGCCCCTGCCTAAAACTACCCCAGTGAGGGGCTGGGTGTGGCCCAGTGGTAAAACCTCTGCTTACTATGTATGTATGAGACCCTGGCTTCATTTCCAGACCTGGGGGGAATGTGATGATTGGTGCAGGAGTCACCTGTTTTGTAGACTTACAGGAAGTGGCAGAGGTGTTTCCTCATCAAGTTGGACCCTCACTCTCCCTGGTTCTGCCCCAACAGAGTGTCACTGGGTTCGGGCGTCAGATGATTGAGAAAACCAAGCAACTAGTGGAGTCCAAGTACACCCTGGAAAATGGCTACGATGCCAATGCCAAGGTCAGGGTCTGGTCACACCTGCCTGTTCTCCAGGGCCCTTGGGCTACCTGCAGGTTCTGGGTTGAGAAGAGACATTCCTTTCACACCTGCCCTGGCAGGTGGTCTACGGCGATACTGACTCTGTGATGTGCCGATTTGGTGTCTCCTCCGTGGCTGAGGCAATGTCTCTGGGTCGAGAGGCCGCAAACTGGGTATCCAGTCACTTCCCGTCACCCATCCGCCTGGAGTTTGAGAAGGTGCGTGTCCCTGCACTCAGTTCAGTGAAGATGGTAGGGGTCTTGGCAGTTAATGATGGTTTCTTATTACTTGTGTGCCTGCTGACACTGCCGTAGTGTGGGTGTCTCCACACTGTGGGAGGCTTGTCGTTCTCTGGGCCTGCTTGCATGAGTTTCTTGGGTTTCTGTTCTTAGAACACAGAAACCCAGTGTTCTTGGTTCTGAGGCTTAGGGCCCCCCTTCCCCAAACCAGTGGTGGGCATGGGCCCTGCGATGCTCTCATGTGCACCCCTAGCTGCTGCTCCCTTCCTCAGGCCTGAGGTCCCCTCAGCACTGGATTCACTTGGTCCTGTCTCCTCCTGTGGCTGTGAGACTTCACTGTGTGGTTTATCTGTATTCCATGATTTAGGGGCCAGCTCTAGGCCTATGGTGTGATGTCTGGTGGGATTCCTGGGTTATGGCAGGTTATCAGGTCTCCTTAGGGTTCATTTCACCAAGGTCAAGGGCCTCATCCTTGCCTGTCCTGCTTCTGATAGGTCTCGGGATTGGGGGTGGGTGAAAGTACACAGGTTCACCACCCATGGGTCCTTCCAGGTTTACTTTCCATACCTGCTCATCAGCAAGAAGCGCTATGCTGGCCTGCTCTTCTCCTCCCAGCCTGATACCCATGACAGAATGGACTGCAAGGGCCTGGAGGCTGTGCGCAGGGACAACTGTCCCCTGGTGGCCAACCTTGTTACATCTTCTCTGCGACGAATCCTTGTGGACCGGTGTGTGTGTGTTTGTCCCACCCAGACCAAGAAGCCAGCCTCCCTCAGACCTGGGGGCCCAACACCCTACCCTGGGGACGCAGGTGTCTTCGCTTGATGGTGGGGCAGTGGTGGGTCAGGCTTAGCTCATAGTGCCTGATCGCTAGCTCCTAGCTGATGAAAGTCCCTGGTGACACCCTCCATCGTCACAGGGATCCTAATGGGGCAGTGGCCCATGCAAAGGATGTCATCTCAGACCTGCTGTGCAACCGCATAGACATCTCCCAGCTGGTCATCACCAAGGAGCTGACCCGTGCAGCAGCAGACTACGCCGGCAAGCAGGCTCACGTGGAGCTGGCGGAGAGGTAGGGCAGTCCCAGCCTCCGGCAGCTGGGCCATGCAGCCCTCCCCAAACCTCACCCACCTCCCCATCTGCAGGATGAGGAAGCGTGACCCCGGCAGTGCACCCAGCTTGGGTGACCGCGTCCCCTATGTGATCATCAGTGCTGCCAAAGGCGTGGCTGCGTACATGAAGTCGGAGGTCAGGCCCACCTGGGCTGTGCCCCTCCCAGAGTCTCACTTCTGCTTTCCTTTGGGCGGTCAGGCCCTGGGCCTGTGTAGCCTCCTTGTACAGAGTTGGCTCTTGTGCCATCTCCGCCCCTCCCCACCCTGGGTGCTAGTACCTCTGTTTGCTTTTATCATCTCAAGCCACCCAGGAACAGTGACCCATTCTCAGACTTGTAACTTCTGACCCCTGCACCCCCTCCACGGCCCCTCCTCCTCACGTGGGGAAACTGGGTTAGTGACTGAGAACCCCCAGCCAGGCCAGAGTCATGCCCCCAGGTGCACCCCTTCATCACAACCTGCTGGTGGTGTCCGTAGTCCCTGTCCTCTGCAGCCATTGGTAACCTCAGCCTGCCCGCAGGACCCCCTGTTTGTGCTGGAGCACAGCCTGCCCATCGACACTCAGTACTACCTGGAGCAGCAGCTGGCCAAGCCACTGCTGCGCATTTTTGAGCCCATTCTGGGTGAGGGCCGTGCAGAGTCTGTGCTGCTACGTAAGTAGAGCCCGGAGGAGGGAGTGTGGGCGAGGAAGGGGCAGGGGCAAGGCCATCAACTCCTCTCCTGTAGGAGGTGACCACACACGCTGCAAAACCGTGCTCACCAGCAAGGTTGGTGGCCTCCTGGCCTTTACCAAGCGCCGCAACTGTTGCATCGGCTGCCGCTCCGTGATCAACCATCAGGGTGAGCCCCAGGCCACAGCTCCTAGACTCACGAGTGGGCTTTGCCACGAGCTCCATTCTGCCCGCCTGCACTCCAGTGGAGGGTCCTCGCCCGCTCCGGGCTTCCCCAGGGGAGTTTTCTCCACACAGTTGGGCCCTTGTTCTCCAGCCTCTGGGGACTTTCAGAAGCCGGGATGGGCAGCGGGTGGAGAAGAGCGGAGATGCAGGGATGTAGGCTAGGGCCTGGCTCAGGCCCAGTACCTCTGCTGACGCCCATCCCTCTTCAGGAGCTGTGTGTGAATACTGTCGGCCACGGGAGTCGGAGCTCTATCAGAAGGAGGTGAGTGAGGCTGAGGCTGGAGCTGGGGCAGGCCTGAGCCCCACAGCCCTGCTCAACCCATTTGCCCCTAGGTGTCACACCTGAATGCCCTGGAGGAACGCTTCTCGCGCCTCTGGACACAGTGCCAGCGTTGCCAGGGCAGCCTGCATGAAGATGTCATCTGTACCAGGTGCACCCTCCCCCACCTGCTGCCAGACTCCTGACCCAGCCGAGAGACCTCCCTGAAGAGTGGGCAGGGTCTGCCTGGGCTAGGTGCCCGCCCAGCCTCCCCCAGGGTGGGGCCGGGCTTTCCCCAGGGAACGGGCGGGCGGGGCGGGTTCCCACGACAGGTGACAGCTGATATACGGCTGGCTACCTCTCGGGCATTGCTGTTATCGGCTTCCCTGTGCCCGCTAAGCAAACAGCCCCCTCCCCTGGGTGGCCAGCAGGTAGGGGCCAAAGTCCTGGGAACGGCCCTTGACCACCACCCTTCACAGCCGCGACTGTCCCATCTTCTACATGCGCAAAAAAGTGCGCAAGGACCTGGAGGACCAGGAGCGCCTGCTGCAGCGTTTTGGACCTCCGGGCCCCGAGGCCTGGTGACGCGACGAGGGACAGGGAATAAAGTTCAGACTCTTTGCTACCGACTGTGTGTTGTGGTCTCCGGGAACGGGCTGGGTTTCATGGCTTAGGCACTATATAACCCCAGGGGCCTCAGTACCTCTGTGTGCCCACACAGGGCGGGCATCTCTCAGTTTCCCTTTTGAAACCCTCAGCAGGACCCGCCACGCTGCTCTGCTCCTCCCCATGGGGCTGGTGGTCGCCCAGCTGGCACCAGGTGCTGGCCTATTTTCTTCAGACCTGGGGACACCTTAGGACAGCAAGGGGACCCCTCCTGACCCTGTGGTATTCCACCTTGGGGTCCTGGTGGTCCATCTGTCTGGGCTTCCCCTCAGCTCTTGGGAGACCCCCTGTCCTCACGCTGTCCCTGAACCTCACTGCCCAATGCCATCTTGCCGCTGTCACCATTGGCTCCCTCCTCAGTACCTATTCCCAGGGCCTGCAGCCCCTGTCTCCTCGCCTTTTCTCAGCAACCCCACCTCCTCGGTGGTGGGGAACCCCAAATCCAAATGGCTCCTAGGCCCACCCTCCCTGCCATGTGACCAGAGGGTTGTGCAATCCAGACCCCTCCCCGAGGGGATTTTTAAGGAGGGCCCCTGTGGCCCGCCCCTGGGAGGGTGGGGGCTGGGCCAGAGTATATATAGGGGTAGTGGCCAGAGCCAGCCCAGCCCGCCCTGAGCCACCATGCTTGCTCTGGAAGCTGCACAGTAAGTGGGTAATCCCCAACCCTGTACTTGGGACCCCCACCCCACTCAGCACCCTCCACTTCTGTGGCCCCCCAGGCAGGTGGTAAGGGGGTGGTCCCAGCGTCTGCAGAAGCGCGTTCTCCATCAGCTCTGTCTTAGGCAGGGTTCCAAAGGTGGCGTGTTCTGGAGACACTCGCTCCCATCCTGCCCAGGTGCTCCCCTCTGTCATCTGCGTAGTATTGCACGCTCCATTTCTGGCACTCTGCCCCTTGAGTTTTGTCTGTGTCTGCTTCCTTCTGTACAACCGTTCCCGCTGGCTCCTGGCACACCCTGGCTGCCTGTACCATGGACGAGAAGCCCAGTGCTTTGCTTACTCCCTGTCTTTCCAGCCCTGCTCTTCAGCTCATTGCTGCTTCTGGTGTCAGCTGAACTTGCTAAGACACCCAAACCAAGCTCACTGGTCACCCAGCTGTCTGGGGACTTTCTCCCTCTTACTTTCCCTGTCGTCCCACCCACCCCCCCCAGTGTCTGTGCATGCAAATCCCAGGGGTAGTGGGGGACATTTGCCTGGTACCCGCCTCCTACTTCCTGTCCCGATGGGGGTGTGGGGGTGACTTGGGAGGGCTGGGCGCACACAAGGACAGCCATCAGACTGCAGAGCTGTGGTGGGTGATCACAGCTGCCACCACCTCCCCTGCGGGCCCCACAACCACTTTGAGACTCAGGTGGCTGAGGGCAGCCCTGACATGCCCCTGTGTCTCTCTCCTGCCAGGCTGGATGGCCCACACTTGAGCTGCTTGGTGAGTCGGAGGCCCCCAGGGGGGTAGCGGGCCCCTTCGTGGTCTGTGGGACTAACCTTACTAAGATCACCTACTTCTGGCCTCAGTTTCCAGTCTGTCTCGCCCCCACCTCGTCTGTCTGCTCTTTTTCTAAAACTTGAGGCTGCTTCCTTGACCTTGTAGATGTTCTACTTGTACAGCCCCCTCTTTTGGGTTATGGATCTTACATCTTTTAACTATAGTATTTAGGACACCAACTATCTTCCCCAACACTTGAACTCACAACGGAACAATGGGACCTTTCCCACGGTGGCAAGAAGCCCACACTTCTTTGGAATTTGCTTGGCTTTTTTTTTTGTTTATATAATTTTGTGTTAATTTAGACAGCATCTTTCAATGTAGCCCTAACTGGTTTCAAAGTCATGATCCTCCTGCCTCAGCCTTCAGAGTGTTTGGGGATTATACCTGTAAGACACCTGCTGTTGGTTGTTTAAAACTGATGATGTCTTGTGTGTGCATCAGTGATTATCCTCGTTGTACACACCCCTGTAGCCATTACCAGACCAAGGTCTTGAGTTCTAGAACATTCCCTGGTATCCCCTCCTACTGTGTGTCAGTATTTGACAGTGATTCGTTTGGAGCTTTTATTAAGTGATTCATGCATAGGTCTTTAGGGCAGCTGACCTCTTTTCATGCATAGGTCTTTAGGGCAGCTGGCCTCTTCTCATGCATAGGTCTTTAGGGCAGCTGGCCTCCTTCCGTGCAGTTAGGACCTGTCTCTTGCCTCCTGTGTTACATGGTCTGCCGCCCACCAGTACACCCCACAGCTTGTTTATCCTTGCTGAGAAGCTTGTGGTCTGGGGTCGGGGCAAGCTGCCTCAGGCCGCCCTGCGCATACGGGCTTCCTTCCCTGCACGAACAGGAAGGGTGGAGGTGCTGGGTCGGTGGGGTAGCACTCATCCCCTTCAGCTCTGGGCTCCACGGCCTCTTCAATGGCCGTGGCTGGAGCAACGAGCAATTGTTGAGATGTGGCGTCCTGCGTTAAAGAAGGCGATGCGCGCCTGCCGCCCCAGTTCTCAGAGGGTAAGCCTGAGCAATCCCTCAAGTTCTGGGCCATCCTGGGCTACAGAGTGAGTTCCTGGGTGCCAGCTGCACACTGGAGACTGCTAGGGTTCCTTGAGGCTCACGGCCGTGGCGGACACTAGCTTCTGGTCTCTGTCTTCTTATTCCTTATTCATGGATTCAGTCTCTGTCTCTATTCGTTTCTGTCCTTGTCTGTCCCTCCCTGCTGTCACCTGTCAGTCTTCCCAAAGGTTCAGGAGGGGGTCTCCAAGGCCTGGGGTGACTCTGTCCTCACCCCAACAGTACCCAGAAAGTGTCTTCTGCGACCTGGACAACTGCAAGCCCTTCAGTTACCCAGATTCCGATGGGGGCCCTGGTGAGTGACCCCAGCTTCCTGGCACCTAGGGCTCAGTTCACAGTGGAGATGCTGAGGCCCATGGGAGCTCTCCCTCATGGCAGCCCCTCCCCAAGCCACCTCCCTACCCACCCCTCCAGTCCATCTGTTCCCCCATGCAAATGCCGGGGTCAGAGATTTGCACAACTTACAAAGGCCCCTCTGTGTGGGCCTTGAGGTGCAGGTCTTCTGTCCACCTTCAGCTACTGACCCTGACCCTTCTCCCAGACTCCACATGGGGTTGGACAGAGGCCCCGCCTGCCCCCACCATCACCCCCTATGAAGTCTTCGACCCCGCTACGGCTGCCTTTGCCCACTCCCAGGCTGTCCAGCTCTGTTACGGTCATGGCCTCGGTCCCTCTACCTACAGCCCCGTGGGGACCCTCGACCCAGCCCCCAGCTTGGAGGCTCCGGGGCCTGGTCTCCAGGTGTACCCCTCAGAGGACTTCGTTAGCCAGGTGAGGAGCACAGAAAGCTCGGAGGGAGACTTCTACCTCGTATTTCTTCTGCAACTCTCTGAAATGAACTTCTGGCTTGTTCCTGGGTGGGGGACACAAGAACACCTTTCTGAGGTAGCGCAGGTGTTCCTTGAGCTCCCTTGAGTTCGGAGGACAGTTCCTGGACCCAGGCCATCTACCGGCTGTGTAGCTTTGGGCAGCTGCCTTAGCTTCTCTGTGTATTGAGATAAGCAAGGCCAGTGTCCGTACTGCACAGGAAGATGGAGACCCACATAGTGAAGGCTGCAGAGATGGGGGGACACTGAGGGAGACATGAGCAGCTGACCCTGGTCTCCCACAGACGCTGGGCCCCTTGGCTAATGCTCCGTACCCCAGCCCTGTGCTGTCGGAGGAAGAAGACATTCTGCTGGACAGCCCTGCCCTGGAGGTCTCGGACAGTGAGTCAGACGAGGCCCTCTTGGCTGGCTCCGAGGGGAGGGGATCCGAGGCAGGTATGTGGGGTGGAGAGTTGGGGACCCTGACTGTGTGTGGGGAAGGGGCTGAAGGAGCCAGGGTTCACTAAGCATTTGCTGATACCTCCCACGGAAGTTCCCAAACCCATGCTCCTTGTTGGCTGTGTGACCTTGGCCAAGGGCATTGTCCTCTCTGTGCCTTGGTTTCCATTGTACACAAAAGCACAGCAACATCAAAAGGAAGCGCTATACCTCCCCCACAGCCAGTCACCCTCTCCAGACAGCCTTTCAATCAAACTATTCTCTGTAGGACATCAGTTTCCCAGATGTAAACCTGCTATCTTACACTGCCTCACTCCCCGTCCCTCCCTGTGGGGATTCTAGGCAAGCGGCTCTGTCACCGAGCCATACCCCAGCCCTCTTTTTAGAAGACAGTCTCAACTAAGTTGTCCAGGCTGGTCTTGAACTTGTGATCCCCTTTCTCCGTCTCTGGAGCAGTTAGAATAATAGGTTCAAGCCAATTAGGCCCGACTCAATTGTGAGAGCTAAAGTGTGTCGGGGGTTGTCGATCTGGGGGTCCCTTCAACGGACTTCCCCTCCTAACACGGGGACCCAATGCCCTGCAGGTGCGCGCAAGAAGCTGCGTCTGTACCAGTTCCTGCTGGGGCTGCTGCTGCGCGGGGACATGCGCGAGTGCGTGTGGTGGGTGGAGCCGGGCGCCGGTGTCTTCCAGTTCTCCTCCAAGCACAAGGAGCTGCTGGCTCGCCGCTGGGGCCAGCAGAAGGGCAACCGCAAGCGCATGACGTACCAGAAGCTGGCGCGTGCGCTGCGAAACTACGCCAAGACGGGCGAGATCCGCAAGGTCAAACGCAAGCTCACCTACCAGTTCGACAGCGCGCTGCTGCCGGCCACACGGCGCGCCTGAGCGCCCCGCTAGGACCCCTTTCTGGCCCCCAGGCCCCAGTACCCATGGAGCCCCGCGTGGGGGCGGTAGGCTGCCAGGGTCCTCAGCTCTCAGCAGGGCCTTCTCAGAGTCCCTCCTGCCGTGTACGGGGTTCCCCCAGGATGGTCGTGTTTGAGGGGGATGTCTCATGACCCACTGGTCCTTCTGTGTGCCCTAGAATGGCAGGTTTCTCTGTGTGGCCCCTGGTGGTGTTTGCTGTTCGGTTCCCGGAAGGAATCCACATTGGTAATTCTTGCCAGCCCCGTGATCACACATGCTATCTCACCAGCAGGTGGCGCTGTCTACAGCCTCCCCAACGTGTGTGTGTGTGTGTGTGTGTGTGTCTGTCTGTCTGTCTGTGTGTTGGGGGAGGGGTCCCTCTGTGCTGCTCTGAGGCCCTCGTCAGATCTGAGATCTAGTTATATGTCTGGAGCCCTTTGAGAACCCTGTGCCATCTATGACTTGTCTTTGTGTCCACCTATAACTTTGTTTGAGACATTGTCTCACTAGGTAGCTCAGGCTAGCCCCCAACTTGTGACAATCCTCTTGCTGAGATTACAGGGACACACCACCACACCAGGCTTTTCCTTTTTGAGACAAAGTTTTACTCTGTAATTTAGGCTGTCCTCAAGCTTGCGATGATCCTCTTGCCTCAGACGTCCCTTGGGACCCTCTGGGGTCCGTGTGTGAGATATTGTTGGGCAGGGTGGGGAGTTCAGTGAAGGCTGGCCCTGCTGGGGTCCTTTGGTCTTATGGGATGTGTTGCCTAGCATGGTAGGCTTCAGCAGCCCTGAGTCCACACGCTGACTGTCCTGTGTGCTGTGTGTGGGGGTCATTCCAGCACCTGGCCAATTTGGCGGATATGGCGGAGATCTTCGCAGGTGTGGCAAAGCCGGTACCAGCCTGCTGTTTTTGAGATTGGGTCTCATGTAGCTCAGGCTGGCCTTGACCTCACTATGTAGCTCAGGCTGGCCTTGAGCTCCTGCATCATCCAGAGTGCTCAGATTGCTGGCACCATCATGAAATTGTTTCTTTTCTTTTTCTTCTTTTTTTTTTTTTTTTTTTTTTTTTCGAGACAGGGTTTCTCTGTGGCTTTGGAGGCTGTCCTGAAACAAGCTTGGTAGTCCAGGCTGGTCTCGAACTCACAGAGATCCACCTGCCTCTGCCTCCCCAGTGCTGGGATTAAAGGCGTGCGCCACCAACGCCCGGCTTCTTTTCTTTTTCTTAAGTCAGGGTCAATCTGTGTGGCCAGGCTGGCTTCAAATTCATGATAATCTTCCTGCCTCGGTGTCTGGAGGGCTAGGATTACGAACATGTTCCACCACACCCTGCCTGTCCCGCGCCATCAGTAACCAGACTTCTAAAGCTGGCCACCCCCCACCCACCAGGCAGGCAAATTAAGTCCCTGCAGGTGTTTTCCTCAGAGGAAAGCACTCTTACAGAGTCTTTCAGAGTAGGGAGCTCTCCCACAGCCCAGCCGTCTGGATGCGAAGCTGGACAGTTGATGGCCTCTGGCCAGCTCTTCAGTGTGAAGGGGCTGGGACCAGCCCGCCTGTCTCCTCAGCCCTGCCTGTCTCCTCCGTGACTCCCCTAGCTACCTGTTGGGGCCTAGTCTTTTGCCTTTCAAGTGCTGTAAAGCTAGCTGCAGCTCGAGCCTGCTCAAACTGTGAGGTTCTCACTGAGCCTCCATGGCAGAACCAGAACCCAAGGCCTTGAGTTTGAGAAAGAGGAGGAAGAGGGCCTCCTTGCAGCCCTGATAAACCTGTGACACGCCTGAACTCGCCCCCGGGTGGTCAGGACGGGGAGGAAGGATCACAGAAGACCAGATGTCCATGGCTAAGCTGGCACCAAATAAAATTCTTTCTTCAAAAGCCAAGATCGTCACTCTGCATGGATAACAAATAAAATCCTAAGTCAAGCTTACAGCTGTCCTGGGACCCTTTATCAGTGCTGCCCCGCCCCTCCCCCAGCTGGCTGCTCTGTACACCGGCGAGTTAGGGGGAGTTAGGGGGCGGGTACAGCGGTGCAGCCAGCCTGCCTCTTCAGTGGTGAAACCACTGGGCCTCCTAGCTCGCCTTTCTGCTCACCCTTCCATTCCAGGTTCTGGCTTTTGTATGTTAGTTTCTTGTTGTTGGTGGGTTTTTTTTGGGTGGTGGTGGGTTTTTTGTTTGTTTTGTTTTGTTTTTTTCCAGATAGGATCGTTCTTATATTGCAGTTCAGGCTGGCTTGGAAGTCACGCCAATCCCCGTCTCATCTCAGCCCCTGGAATTCCGGGATACAGGGGTGTGTCGTCATACTACGCTGGGCCACTGAGCAACTTGCCTGCTCCCTCTGGAGCGAGGTGGAAGTTTGCCGGGCAACCAAAGGCGTCACAGCCTCCTGGTTGGCTTAGTGCCCTCAGAGGCGGGGACGGTTCCGACTGTTCGGGGATTTTGCAAAGGGGGGGCTGCTCTTGGCTCCCCTGGTCCCTGACCCTGCCCTTTCCTCTGACACCCTCCTGGGCCAGCCACACCGCTGGTACCCCAAGCCTCTCTCTCCGTCCTTACCCCCTCCTCCGCTCTCTGGTGCTGGGAAGGAGCCGGCCCGGGCAGCCCTCCAGGGCCTTCCCGGCCTCTCTGCACCCGGCCGGTGACCGGCAGCCGGCCAGGCCGCTCCCAGGGGGACCCGCACCAGGACAGGGCGGGAGGGACACCGAGACCGCCTCCCCCCGGCAGGCACCCATCCTGCCTACGCGGGGAAACCGGACTCTCTCCCGGCTCTGGTTTCTAGAAAACTCCTGACTTGGGCTGGCTAAGAAAGGCTTCCGGAAGCCACCCCTCCCGCACCCTAGGCACCTGAGCCCCGCAGCCCTGCTTCTCCTCCAGGACCTAGGCGCCCCCCTTCCCACTGCTCCTCCTCCCCTTCCCAGGACTCAGGGTTCCCTCCTCCTCCTCCCACCTCTTTTCTTTTCTCCTCCTTTGCCCCCGGGACACAAGTGCCCTTCCTGCTGTCCCCTTCTCCCCACCCCCATTTCTCTAGGACCTAAGGATCTGGGCCCCTGGCCCCCCCACTCTGGAGTCCCAGACCCCCTCCTCCTGAGGTCAGGCAGTGGACACCTTTGCACCTCCTCAGACTCAGGTGTCCACGCTCTCCCTGGCCATCCGCACTGGGGCCCTGGCATCCCGCCACCCCTCTCTGTCTGCCTGCTATTTCTCGCCCTTTAGAGCATGCGGGAGGAATGTGGGGCGGCACTGCGCTGCCTCCTGGGAGTCTTGAGCCTCCATAAAGGGCTCCTCCTGGGGACCCACCTATCTGCTAGGGCCTGGCTAGAGCCACTGCAGTTGGAGGAAGTCGCTCACATGCCTGAGGCTAAACCAGGTGGCTGGCCAGAAACCTTCCTGGGGGTGGGGTGGGAGATGGGCTGAGGACAAGGGGTGTCTCTTCTGAGGGAGGAGGGGTCCTTCCTGGGGGTGGGGTGGGGGATGGGCTGAGGACAAGGGGTGTCTCTTCTGAGGGAGGGGGGGTCCTTTGTCTGCTCCCACATCTAGGTAGAGTGTGGGTTCCTTCCCTGCTCGGGGAAGAGGGGCCCCTTCTCTGTGCACAGGCGGGTTCCTTCCTGGTGCAGGTGGTGGGGTCTCGTGCCACTGTTGCTCTTCTGGGACCGGGAGACCCATCTTGGATAGAACCCTCAGCTGCCTGATTATAAAGTGGTCGCTTCTCTCTCCTCACTTTCTTCCTTTTCTTTTCTCTCCTGCCGCCTCCACTCTCCTCCAGCCCTACAGGCTGCTCCCAAACTCACGCTGCAGCCCAGGCTGGCTTGGAAGCCCCACCCTTACTGCCTCGACCTCCCAAGAGCTGGGTGGCGGGCGCGGGCCCCACGCTAGGGCGCTCCTTTTCTTGGGACTGATGGAGTCTTGCTTGCACACTGCTGGGGTTCGGCTCAGGGATAGGGTCCTCTGCAGTGGGAGGACACCCTAGAGGCAGTGAGTCTGCCCACCGAGTGAAGATTCGGGGCTTTCTAGATCATGGGGCATTTCTATGGATACAGCAGGAGTCCATGCGCATGGAATTTTCTGTGTAAAACTGAGAACTCCTTGGTGTGCAGGTTGGGCTTCTGTGCAGGAATCACGGCTCTCTTGCATGGGTGGAGTCCTCCTTTTCCTGCTATGGTGGGGATGGAACCTCCCAACTGCTTGGCAAGCACTGGCGATGTCCCAGCACCCCAGTCTCTCTTCATGTGCAGTTAGACGTTCTCCTTGGGGGACAGGGGCAGTCTGTATGCTGCCCGGGGCTTTCTCCTTTTGTGGAAGTGGGCATTGCACACAAAGCCTGGCATCACCTTCCCCTGGGGCCAGCCCAGCCAGGCTGAGGTGGATATCAGCCCCTTTGCACAAACTGACCCATGGGTCAGTGGCCTGCACCACATGGGAGACTGCTGTGGTCAGCACTAGTGTCCAGTTTCCACCCCAGGGGAAGGCTAATTATACCCCAAACCTGAAAGGTCAGGCTGGCGGCCAGAGTCTGGGGCATGGCTACAAGGGGAGGGGGAAGCTGATGCCACACTCAGGGTTAGGATCAACGCATGCCTGGGATGGGGGCTCTGGACCTCACCATCTGTACTACTGAGGGAGGAGGGCCTGATCTTGGATCCCGGGTCTGGAAGAGAAGGTTCGAAGCCTGGACCCCTGGTTCTGAGGACTCTGGATTCTGGGGCAGGAGAACACCACGTTAAGCTGGTCTCAACATCTCCCGTGTTACAGCAGCCAAAAAGGCCCCCAAAGGCAAGGATGCGCCACAGGAAGCCCCTGCTAAGCAGGCTCCTGCAGAGCCCCCCAAAGGTGAGGTGCCTCCGGGCTCTGTGGCCTGTCTCCCCGTCTCTGCCCCTCTGCACACTGGCCGGAGCCTTTCCTAATCCCTTTCCTGTAGCTGTCCCTAGACAGCGTCAGAGCCACCGTCCCTCCCGGTCCCCAGCACCCCACCCAGGCTGGCACCTCACCCTCAGTGATGTCTCAAGTAATGCTTGCCCATATTTACATGTTCTTTACCTGAAAGTTCATTCAGGACCATCCTGGCCATAGGCTACTGGTCCACAGATGGGGAAACTGAGGCCCAAAGGGCTGAGGCAGCCTAGCAAACATCCAAATCACACCTAGTCTCTGTCTTCTGAGCAGAGGGCTTCTTACCGACTCCAGCACCCTTCCCAAAGAGGTCCCCTGCTTCCCCTAGACCACTGCTCACACCCTACTCCTTTCTCCGGAGCAGAGGCCCCTCCCGAGGACC